ACTGCTAACACTTCAGGTACAACAATGGAAAAGCCAGACAGGGCTGATGGCCCATCAGCGAGGACAATGGACTGTGAAAAGGCTTGGCCTTCCTGCGGATGCTCCATTCTGCACTGACTCATGGACACTGATGCTACAGAGTCAGGTGGTCTTGTCACCTGATACTAAACATTACCTGGGACTGCTTGTAACTTGAATGGGAAGGGGGGCAAGTTTGGGAAACAAAGGATTCCCGCCTTATGTAAATCCTATTTAAGCGTGGGGAGGAAAGTAAACAAGAAACCTCTCCCTGGCCTGTCTGCCCAAGAAGAAAGTGAGCTAAAGCCTCCTGAAGCGAAGGCAAGGGGGAAGTCCAGACTGAGACGGGTCCAGTCAGAAAAGAAATATAACTGGAACTCTGAACCACAGAAACGTTGCAATCCGCCTAAAATAATATCTAGGGTGAGAATTTACATTTTGTAACCTGTTTCTTAAGTATATTTAGCTTAGCTTGAGCATTTTTGTTTTATTTGATCAATAGTCTGTTCTGTTATCTCTTATATTCATTTAAACTTCACCTTTTGTAGTAATCTTATTTAAAATAAAGCCCCAGTTTATGTAATTTTTAACTGGGGCGGGGGCAAGAAGTTGTGCATAACTCTCTTCACATTGAGGAAGAGGGTGGATTTTTATGAGCTTGTGCTGTGCAGATTTGTCTATACAGTGCAAGACAGTATTTTGGGTTTTATCTCCCAAAACTGTGTGTGTGTGTGTGTGTGCGCGCGCACATCAGGTGGCATCCCAGAAGGGGGGATCCAACCCATCACAGTCTGTCATGACAACATTACAATACGTTCTTGGAATGTATTGGGAAACCTTTTTGTTTTAGAAAGTGGAGAAAGTAACCAGGAGGATGGCCATTTTAGACTTGAGTCTGACCAACAGGAAGGAATTAGTTGTGTATCTGAAGGTGGAATGCAATTTGGGTGAAAGTGATCATGAAAGGATGAGTGAGTTCATCAGAATAAGGACAATGGAGCTAAAACAAAAAAAAAACTTTAACCCACTCAGAAAACTGCTAGGTAAGGCCTCTTGCAAAAACAATCTAAGAGATAAAGAAGTTCAGAAGAACTGGCAGTTTCTCAAGGAACATATTAATGGAACAAGTACTAACTATCCTGATGTGAAGGAAAGACAGGAGATTACCCTAACTCCTCCCTAGGGCTCTGTGACTTCTGCAGCAGCCAGTGTGGCTGATCCCAGGGCTGCCCAAGCAGCTGGCTCTGGGACCAGCTGCTCAGGTGGCCCCAGGGACTGCCACCCCAGGGACTGGCACACCAGGGTCACGTGAGCAGGCTCTGCAGCCTGCCACGCGGGTGGCCCCACAGCCAGCCGCTGCTCGGGCAGCTCCTGGGAGCAGCCGGCGCAGCTGCTGTTGGTGGCTCCTGGCCACTGGTGCTGCTGTCCCCCCAAGCAACGCCCTCCCTGAGACACCACTCCCCAGCAGCAGCTCCCCTCCCCCAGTGTACACCCCCCTCTCCCCGAAGATTTAGTCATGGGTATTTTTAGTAAAAGTCATGGACAAGTCATGGGCCATAAATTTTGTTTATAGGCCATAACCTGTCCATGACTTTTACTAAAAATACTAAATTGTAGCTTTACTCATCCCTTAGCAAAATTTAATTTCAGTGATTTTGTAGGATTCTAGTTATCGTTGCACCTTGTGCAAAGTTTCCCCCAAAAGACCATTCTTCAGGCATCTAAATGGTATAATATGGAGATATACCTATCTCATAGAGCTGGAAGGGACCTTGAAAGGTCATTGAGTCCAGTCCTCTGCCTTTACAGCAGGGCCAATTTTTGCCCCAGATCCCTAAATGACCCCCCCCCTCAAGGATTGAGCTTACAATCCTAGGTTTAGCAGGCCAGTGCTCAAACCATTGAGTTATCCCTCCCCCCAAAGACAAAGGAGAATGGGAGAGATAAATGTTAATGTGCTGCATGAGGTTTTGTACAACTCTCCAGTAACCATATTAAAGGATGTGTGGCTTACGATAGTAAACCAATGACACTGGAACACCTCTTTTGTGGGGAAGAGGGTAAATATCTTCCCCTTTGTGCTTTCCCTCCTCTTCCAAATCCCTATCGCTGTACTTTTCCTTCATAGTGAGATGTTTGATTGCATGGGAGAAGCTTGCCTTTCCTTCACTGTATTATGGTGATGTCATACAAACAGACTAACAACTTTTTCTGCAATAACAGCAAGAAAGCCTCCAAAAATGTCTTGAAGCACATACAAGCAAGATTTATGCCTCAGAAAATGGAGAATTGCGATAGCCTTAGCCTGCTCTTCACTTTATGTTCTATTGCTTTACCTGACCTAAGGGATACGCTAGATCAGATCACCCCCTCCCATAGCAGTGCGTGAAGGGAGGAAATGTCCAGGAGGATTTTCTTCTTAATCATTGCTCTTCTGCAAAGTGAGTGGCAGGGCCTGTTTACAAACCCCCTGGAATCGGTCCATGAGAGACTATGGGATTCACATTTCATGGCTTTGTTCTCCTGGCTACTCAGTGCTTAATTTGTGCCAGGGCTGAGCCCCAGCACCTCTAGGCTTGGCAGTTCCTAATCTTGGCACCTCTGGGCTTGCCCAGTCAGTTATCAAAATAAAAAAATTGCTTGAGCCCTGGCACCTCTTTCATTACAAATTAATCACTGTCCCCACTCCCTTGCAATTGCTATCCATAGGACTGACTCCTACCCCAGCAAGTGACTTAAGAAAGGCAATGTATTATCTTTCTGGAAAATGTCAGTGGAGCTAGTGGACAATGTGCATCCCACCCAACACTGGGTTGCTCACGTCCCACAATCTTCACAAAAGACTGCTGTTAAAATAGTCTAGCCCTCCCCCATCACTCCAGCTGTGGATTTTATAGGTGCATGATCTGGTCCACTTAGATTTTTCTTCAAAGCAAATTAGGAATTCCCATATTTATTTTCTTTGGCTGCTCTACTTTAGTAGAGCCCAATTCAATGCTGTGCTGAAGACCCTCCAGATTCCACTGAAACTAATAGGAATTCACAGATTATAAAGCCAAAAGGGACCATTGTAATCATCCAGTCTGACGTGTATAACACAGGCCATCGGACTTCAGTGAATTAATTTGTTTGAACTAGAGCATACCTTTCACACATCCAGTCCTGATTTAAAGATTGTCCATGATGGAGAATCCACCACACCCCTTGGTAAGTTGTTCCTAGTGTTAATTATTCTTGACGTTAAAAATGTGTGCCTTATTTCCAGTGACATTTGTCTAGCTTCAATTTTCCAGCCATTAGGTCTTGTTATACCTTTGTCTACTAGATTGAAGATCCCATTATGAATTTTTTGTTCCCCATATAGGTATTTATACACTGATCCTATCAGCCCTTATTCTTTCTTTGTTAAGCTAAATAGACTCAGCTTCTTGGCCTGCATCCTCAAAGGTATTTAGGCTCCTAACTTCCATTGATTGCAATGGAAGACAGGAGCTTAAATACCTGTGAGGATCTGGGCTCTTGAGTCTATCGTTAGCCATGATTTTCCAACCCTTTAATCATTTAATTCCGAGCCCTAAGTAAGAGTGTTTCAGGATCAAGTCTTAAATGCCACAGAACATGCTGTTCTCTGTTCTATTTATTTGTTCTAAGTTTTGACTGTTAAAGGACATTGATGTCAATTAATTAGAGGTTTAATTGGAATTTGTAAAGAAACTGGGCACCTGACATTAATTATTCATAAGTTTATAGAGATAATGCAAAATTAATTATAATGTAAATAATCTTCAGCTGTTCCTTGATAAATGGAGTCATTAATTAATAATTATTTTAAATGTATTATATATTTAGAGAGGAGGAAAAGATCAGAGTTATTTCTGATAAAATTTTGGAATAAAATTTCAGGTAGACATCTAGTTGGCCTCAACTTTTACATGTGCAAAAATCACATGCCTGCACTTTGCAAATGCTTGTGCATTCCCTATTCTGGTTGTTAAACCTGGTGTAGTTACTGCCATAGTATCCGACTATATTCCTTATGGATGGGGTTGATGAGCTGTTTCATCCATGGCCCAGGATACTGTATCTAGTTATATGGTCCCCTATCACCATAGTTACTGAGTGCCTCAGAATCATTAATGTGTTTATCTTCACCATATGAGAAGAGAAGTATCATCTCCAATTTACAGAGTGGGAACAGAGGCTAAAGGTCACACAAGAAGACTATGCTAGAACTGGGATTTGAACCAAGAGCTGCAGAGTCCCAGGCTAGTGCCCTGACCCACAAAGCCATCTTTCCTTCTTGGGTGAAGAGGTACCACTTTAAAACAAATCCTAATGGGACGGAAGCTTGAAAGAGGAAAATGATTCCAGTGGGAAAATTATTCAAAACTTACATTTAAAATGTAAAAGGGGTGGGGGGTGGTATTGGGAGAAGTGGCAAGTCTTCATGAAACAAACTGGATCAGAATGAAGTGGACCTGTTATGACAGAAAGCAAGTTGTCCACTGGGCCCAAGAAGGGGAAAGTAGTGAAAAGGCCACTGTGTAGTGTTCACTGCTCACCAGAGTTATTTTTCATGTGAAACAAAGGCAACTAAAGGAGATTAGTTATTCTACCATAGAAATAATCCTAAATGTATAATAAATATAAACATAATGTAAACTTGCTGAAGGTACTGAAGATCAGTTCAGACGTGGATAGTCCATAACAGCCTCCATGCTATGAGACCAATGATCCTCTGAGTAGCATACCAGATGATTCACAGGAAGGTTAAAAAACAAAAACAAAAACCCAATGCACTTTGTCTACTGTACAATATCAGAGGAGAAAAATATATTCCTGACCTCAGCTAGCAGCCACTTTATAGTCTGAAACAATAGCATCACAATTTATTATTATTATTCTAGCTAAGGCTGGCCACAAAAATGTAGACATATTAGAAAATAAAATTAGGATTTGTCTTCAGTTACTCTATCCAATACTTTCTTCACATTAGCTTTTATTACACACTGCCTGTATTTTCTGTAAACAGGAGATTGTGCCTTCTAAGGTTTCATTTTGACTTCAAGAGGTCAGTTGCTGTAGATGTTAGCAACTGCTTTATTAAATTCACTCCAAATTCCTGTTTAATTTAAAAATATACAGGTGATTGGTTAACATGCTATGCATTTTGAGTCAAATTCTGCTGTCAGTTTCACACAAGTGTAATTCTTCTTTTCAGTAGCCACTGTTTCTCTCTTCTGTGGCTCAGAGTGTCTAGTCAGGCTTGTTCATCTAAAGGACCTTTTTAAAAAATAAAATATCCCCAGATTAGACAAGTTTCTAGTTGTGACCCCATCACAATTTTACAAAGACAGGGCTAAGGATACAGTCAAGTATCAGATAAATATTAAAATGCTGATTTTAATGTCTGAAATTTAAAGACTAAAAACCTTTATGATATTTACAAGAAATAAAACATGCACAATCTTAATTTCTAATTTCTGCACTAATGGCTGATCCAAAACCTACTGAAGTAAATGGGAGTCTTCAATAGGCTTTGGAATCGGTTTTAAATTATTGTATTTAATATTTAGGTAGGAGGGGTGTAATGTAAGAAATATTCTTTAACAGATGCAGAAACAGATTCTCTTGCAAGATTAATGCTCTCTACAGAAGAGTGCCTTTCACCAGGGAGTTGATAATCATTTCAAGAACAAACTGCGAAGCTTTCAACTCTACTAGTGAAGCCAAAAAACCTTTTAAAGTCTACAAGTTCAATAACTGTGATACAGATCTTATAAAAACTATAACATACTATAAATTAAGCCAGAGAGGTGGATGATGACTTCTCACTGGATAACATCTTGCAGGCACCCACATATTGTTACAGTAACAAATTTCAGGAAAGGAAAAAAGTTAACATTTTCATAGTATTTACTTAGAACACATTGAACAAAAGTTGTACATCCTATTCCTGTATGAATTATTAAATGCGTACGTGAAGATACTGTTTGTTAAAAAATTTTGACCAGCTTTTCCTTAGAAAATGCTGTTTCATCGAAATCTAAACATTTTGCAGGAAAGTGTTGACAAAAAAATTCAATATGATTCAAATTCAAAAGGAGATTTCATTTAGTCTCTCATTTAGTTTTGATTTATTTTATTCCAACTGTGTTTCATTTAGACTATTTTATTTTTAAAAACTTATTTTAATATTCAATGTTTATATCATTTTTATTTATATTGTTTCAGTGTTATTGAAACAAAACATTGACATTATCTAAACAAAATACACCTCTACCCCGATATAACGCTGTCCTCGGGAGCCAAAAAAATCTTACTGCATTATAGGTGAAACTGCGTTATATTGAACTTGCTTTGATCCGCTGGAGTGCGCAGCCCCGCCTCCCCAGAGCGCTGCTTTACCGCGTTATATCTGAATTCGTGTTATATCGGGTTGCGTTATATCGGGGTAGAGGTGTATTTAGATGTCATTTTGATGCTTCCAACATAAAATACTTCAGAATTTTTGTTCTGTGGTAAATTTCTAAATTTTTTACTTTTGTCCTGAATTGGACAGGAAGGAAATTTCAAAGTGTCATAATTTCCTGCTCAACAAAAATTCCATTTCCTAATGAGCTCTGTTTATGATCTTAAATATATAATTATACAGGTTGTGCAGTGAGTCAAATTGAAGATTAATATAATTTTTGAATATTTAAATTAATAATTTTGACAGTGTTTTTATATTTTAATTATCTATTTAAATATGTTCAGAGTCTATCAATATGTAGCATCTGTGCACCTAACTACAGTTAAATTTATGCAAATGCATACGTACAGTACTATAGTTTCTGGAGCCATTGACTTCAGACATTTCGTCAGTCAAACAAATCCATGCTAAAGCACTCTTCACTGTGACCATCAATTGTGAGTTGAAGGCCTGACTAAATAAAAATTGCCTAATTTGCTTCTGGTGTCCTGCAGTAAGCATATTTTTTTATAAGGTCCTTTAACTGAGAACACCTTGCTGCTAGCTGTGGATATGTTCTAGGATCTGACAACAGGAACCCTCAAGGTCAACTTATGCTAGGGCTACACTCAGGGCCGGCGCAACCCATTAGGCAACCTCGGTGGTCGCCTAGGGCACTACAATTTGGGGGGCGGCGACCGCGGCGGTATTTCGGCGGCAGGACCTTCCGCCGCCTCTGTGGGGGGGCGACATTTCGGGGCGGGACCTTCCGCCACCTAGGGCTGCAGAAAAGCGGGTGGCGCTCCTGGCTACACTAGTAACCTTTGACAGTATTTGTAACATTAGTTTAGGAGTGTGTGTGTGTTTTTTTTTTTAAACAACACTTTTATATCAGCAAAAGCCCTTGTCTACTTGACTATAATGGAAAAAAATGCTTTAGCCAGTGTGTCTTGGTAAGTTTGGGGGAGTCGTATAAGCTATACTAGCAAACTTCTTCTAGTATAGATTATACCTTAGTCACTACAATGTGACACAGGGAGAGAGGCAGTCCCACAGGTAGCTGGGACATAGACTTTTAACGGCTTTATAGATTATAATTTATGTCACCCTACCACCATAACAAAGAAGCAGCAACCAAGCTTTTTCCTTTTTTCCTCTTCTTTGCCAATTTCTCTTACTCCTTCAGGGCCAGGTGTGGCCATTCTTATTCTAACTGAGTAGCAGATTATTCCAGAAGCTGGCTCACTGAAATCAGTAAGAGTAGTAGAATCTAGTTTTCTGTGGAGACTGGATGCAGGAGCTGGGAGAGGAGAGCACACCAGTCTCACTTGTGTACAGCATCGTATTCAAGAAAAGAGGAAGTGCTGTAATATCTGGGTTCAATACAATGTTTCCTTCTCTTCTGCAAGCAGTGCTGATGCAATTTGTCAGTAGGACCAGTTGGGGGATCAGGGTGCTTATCATTGTGATAGGAGGAGTTAGGGCTCTTCTAGGTTAGCTGATAGGGATGGCTTACTCCTCTATCTTTTTATTTTTATTCCCTCAACAGGATCTGAACTGCGCATGGGCACGTTCAAAACAGCTAAAAATTTCACTTAACTTCCCAAATTATTTAAAATGAGGATGAAAAGGTTGGGGTGGGGTACCAAGTGAAAGACTGAATTTATAGGTGTCATTAAAAATGCAGTGACTTCCCAGGTCTATTCGTGGGTCATTTTATTCTGTGCTTTGAGCTCATAAGACATTCCTCTTTGTATTAGCTAATGTTTTTTCTAGGAACAGTTCAATGTGTAGGTTTTAATTTCTAAAGCCCCATAAGGTTTTGGTGCTCACTACCTTATAGAGTGCTTCGCTCCTTCCATGGTTCCTCAGTTGAACTCTGGAGGCAAGGATAGTCAGCAGAGGTTCCCTGCCTCTAGAATCCTCTCCCTCAGTTGGCCCGATAACCTGTTTGTTGACCTTTAGTTCCTTCAATGGGACTACTCAAGTCGAAGTTAAGCACATGTGTATATCTTTCTAAGAGTAGCATTTTTCTCAGGTCATTTCTTTAACAAAGCTAGAACAGAGGGAGTTTTATTTATTCAGGAATGGGGGTCTCTTTGAATTGACTTTGTCAATTTTATTTCTTAATTTTGATGCTTAAACGTGATGTATATGGCCAGAACCAGGGATGGGTACACATTTAAGTGCAAAGTAATTAACCAATATCTTGAATGGTTCCTGGAAGTGAAAAATACAGCATAGTTTTTATGTTACTGGCATCTCAAACATGATTAGGATGCAGGCAGCTTCATTTAGCATCAGTAGAAACTTGCAGGTATTCTCCAGAAGAAGCCTGGCCCCCAATACTAAAACTTGACATTTAAAAAGTCACTTGACTATTTACAGAGGCAGATTCCCTCTCTGCAAAACTGTACAACTGACCAGGTCGCAGTCCATAGGAAATCCCACTCTGATGGCAGTCTAACAATACTCATCACTGAACCCACAGTGGTAACATTTTTATTCATATATGAAAAATGGTGCATTCTCTCACAGCATTTTTATTACAAGTACACAGTATGTGCAATATCTCCCCACTCTGGCATTACTAAGGAGACCAGGTGGCCCTGAAATCTGGGACTATTTAGTGCGAGCTTTTTAATTTTCTGGAGAGGCTGGTTTCCTGAAGGAACTGCCAGCTGGCAACACTAATTGGGCTGGGAACGTCTCTAAGGTGCCACAAGTACTCCTGTTCTTCTTTTTAAAAGAGAGGCTTCATCAAGTCTGTTATAATTTAACATCACAACTTAACACCCTGCCTTCTTCACTCCAGACCTTCCAGTGACTGCCCCCTTTCATTCAGCTTTTCCCCCACCTGTAGACTCACCTTTGCAAGGTGGCAGGGAACGGTGGCTGTCTGAGATGGGCACCCTTTTCTCTATTCTCCTCCCCCATCTGTCCCCTGGAATGTCCCAGCCGTGGGCAAGTACAGGACCAGTATCAGGGGGTAGCCGTGTTAGTCTGTATCTACAAAATGGTAGATGCATCTGAAGAAGTGAGGTTTTTACCCACGAAAGCTTATGCCCAAATAAATCTGTTAGTCTTTAAGGCGTCCGCAGACTCCTTGTTGTTTTTACAGGACCAGAACGGAGCAGCAGGCCGGGAAACACGTCTCAGAACCCCCCCGCCGCGCGAGCCCTACAGCTGCCCACCTGCGCCACGCCCCCGCCAGGCGCACAGTTAGATGATTCCAGAAACCCCCCCCCCGGAAAGGAACAGTGGTTTGCCCCTGCGGAAGGAGATAAGTGACTGGTGTCCGGCCATGGGTCCGCTTCCGGGTTTCGGGGCGGGCGGGCGCTGTGTGTTTGCTCCTCCCCCGAGCCCCTGTAGCTCTCTGGGCTATCGCTATGCGCAGACTCGGCTCCTGGCTCAAGATGGCGGCGGCGGATAAACAGAAACATGATCACGGGCGGGTGAAGATCGGGCACTACATCCTGGGGGACACGCTGGGCGTGGGCACCTTCGGCAAAGTCAAGGGTGAGAGCCGGAGACCCCCCGAGGGGCCGGGGGACCTGCTGCCCTTTCCCCGCGGGGCGGGCTGCAGATTCTGGCTTGCGGGAGCTGGGGCCGTTCACCCCTCCCGCCGGCCTGAGGGAGCTGGGTCCTTCTCGTCCCCTGCTCTGTGTACACGCCGCAGCAACCTTGCGGGCTGGCGCCTCCCCCTCCGGCCTCAGCGCCGGGTGGAGCCTGAGGCGTACGCGGCGAGCGCCCGGAGGGCCTGGCTGCCATGCGGCCTGGGCACGTACCGAGCAGCTCGGGCGCCTTGCTCGGCTTCGCTCGGGCTCTCCCGGAGTCCCCGGTTTGCTCCTGACATGTGCCTGCCTTTATCATAACGGTGCTGCAGCAGCGCGCAGCTCTGGAGCCCAGTTATCTGCCGGGCAGCAGTTGCACCTTTCAGCCAACAACTGCCCATTCCGATAGACAGGAATCGCACCTCCACTGGCACTGGCGAGGATGATGAAGGCGATCAGGGCTGTGCTTGATCATGTGCACTAATCACAGTGAACTCCCCACGGCTTAACAGTCATTTTCCCGGTGTTGGCTAGGCCACGGTTTCAGACAGGATATTGGGTTCGATGAATCATCGGGTTTGGTATGGCAATTCCTGCGTTTTAATGGGGTCCTGAAGTTTAATCCAGAACCAGTGAGATAGGCTGGTAAAGCAAAACCGAAGAAAGACTGTTAACCTGAAGTTCCTGGAACTTCAGCTCTCAGTGGAAGGACTGATAGCTGGGTCAGAGACAACTCTCGAGTGCAGGGGTGATATTTCATTGGGACATCTGTAGAAGGTGGACACATGTGAGACTGGCATTTCAGTTAGGCCTCAGTTAAACATCTAGGTTCCAGCTTCAGTAATGTAGTTACGGCATGGAAAAATAATGAAATCAGTGCAATGCTTTTTGAAATCATCTGCAGTAGACGGTGGTGTGGAAATGGCCTCTGCTATGTTGTAAGCCTTTGTGGGAAACTACAATTGAATTTGCTGATTTTGACAATGGGTGGGTCCTATTGTCTTAGAACAAGAAGTAACCATTGTTTAGAGGAGGAATAGCTCCTCCCCTCCCCCCCAAAACAAAAAAACCACCTACTTAAGAAAACTTACTTGCTGAAATTCAGTATCACTTCTTCAGAAGAGTATCAGAGGGGTAGCCGTGGTTAGTCGGGATCCGTAAAAAGCGATAGTCCTGTGGCACCTTATAGACTAACAGACATATTGGAGCATAAGCTTTCGTGGGTGAATACCCACTTCGCCACATTCATCTGACAAAGTGGGTATTCACCCACGAAAGCTTATGCTCCAGTACGTCTTTTAGTCTATAAGGTGCCACAGGACTCTTTGTCGCTGTCTTCAGAAGAGTGAATGTAACCATACTTGTATTTAGAATATTCTGATTTATGCAATAAAAATATCAAAGTTAACATTAATTTAGTTTTTGTACTTATTTTTGTGGTATTGCCACCAAAGTACTTAAAATGAAACTTTGACAATGTAAAGTGCTGCATAAACAGTCATGTTCAGCAGCTTTGTAAGGCAGGAAGTTTCCCCAGTTTACAAATGGGGAAGTGGAGGCATAGAAAAGTTTTGATGTACCCTAACTCGTATGGCCTTGGGTATTTCTACACAGCAAATTAACCACAATAGTAGTGAAGATGTGGCAATGTGGGCTAGCAACCAAAATAGTACCTCAGATCCCTGGTTTGTATTTGGGCAGCTAACCTGCACTGAAGTTTGTGCTGCCACTTCCTCACTATTATTGCTACATGGGCTACTAGATTAAAACGAGTGTGGATATGCCTGTCTGTGCTACAGTCACACCACCATTTGCTATGTAGACATACCCTTAATGAGACAGCCAATATTAGAGCTCTGAGATTAGGACTTCCTGTGCTGAATCCACTAGACCCCAACATCCTCAATATCTTAAAATATGTGAGAGTCCTGTTCATGGGGGAAGGAATAGCTCAGTGGTTTGAGCATTGGCCTGCTAAACCCAAGGTTGTGAGCTCAATCCTTGAGGGGGCCAGTTAGGGCAAAAATCTGTCTGAGGATTGGTCCTACTTTGAGTAGGGGATTGGATTAGATGATCTCCTGAGGTCCCTTCCAACTCTAATATTCTATGTATTGTGGATGTGTAAATTAAAAATCTCCCCTCAGAGCTGAGTTTGACAAGATAAGTTTTGGGGAAGGGGAATCTTTCAAGAAGGGCAAGATTCTTGAATGAGATTCTGTGTTCATGTGCATGTGGCTTTGTTTGCACTAGAAAAAATATTGTGTTGGAAAATATTAGCCAGCTTTAAATGCATATAAAATTTGTCACTTATAGTAGCAAATCTCCCCTTGTTGGGCTGCAGCCTTCAATGATTTCCTCTGCCTTACTCCCCCCACCGCTTGTTCACTTTGCTGTTTGGTTCTGTCATTCTGTGTCATGTTGTGTCTCCAGTTTTGGTGTCATCAACAAATTTGATCATAGTTGAATATACATTAAAGCCCATGATAAAGGCCTAAATTGTGCATTGTGTTGAGAGGTTTTAAGATGATCAGAAGGTCTTATGGAACCCCCAAATCTGGACTTGGCTTCAACAAATAGGAATAATTACTTCTTGAAAATGGATATTTCGTATATTGATAAAGGCAGCCCCAAGTGGCAGCTTGAGAGCCACTATGCTAGGCAGTAAGTGTGGTGGACCCTTGGCTTCCAAGTCCATCATTCTCTGGGAAGAATGCTTTTACTGTTGCATTTTTCAGGAATCTGCAGTCAAGGTTGAAATACTATAATGGTGAGAAACCAAGGGTAAAGCTAGAATTTAAAAACTACTTTCCCTTTTGTTAAGCAAACATTTTCTCATAAATGTATTTAATAGGACTCAACATACAGTTTTTAAAAAAAATGTATCTAGTAAAGGAGTTTGCCTTAATCTAGGTTTGTGGTGTGTGTGTTTTTTTTTTTTGCCAATTTAAAATCTTGCATCCTAAATTGGTACTGATTCCAACTGGAAACTTGGAAAGGTAAATAGTTCACATTTCCAAATGCAATTAGGGAAGCAAGATTCTTCATAAGACTTTTTTCCTCCATTTTAAAAAAAGTAATACACTTATAGGAAGTAGTGTAGAGGAAACTTCTTTCTAGATACACACGAGACAAAAGTAAACCCTAAAGATAAAATAGTGCACTTTTTTGTCTATTCCAATGCCCAAAATAGTGCTGGAAATCTTAGTCTGTGTAAAATGCCCAGATATGTCTGTCCTGAAGCACTTAACAATAAAATTATTGCATATGGCCAAACCAGAAAATAAGGAAGTGTGGAAGAGATGATAGTGGTCAAATAATGTGGTCGCTCAGCAAAGACGCGTGCATGGCTATCACTTATGACTTATTTTAATATGTATGAATTTGTTTAACTTCTATTTTTAAGAGGAATCAAAGGTATTCTAAACTTTGATTCTTTACTTGTCAAAATACGCAAACTCAAGCTACAGTGTGATAAAACAACCTTCAATCTGACCGTTTTCTCTTCTAGGTAACTTGAAAACAGGTTTAGCTTATGTTGACAGACCAGCTTCATTATGCAGACTGCAGTCTAGGCTAAATCTGTTTTCTAAAAATTTCCACATTGGCATTTGAGTTTTTGTTAACCTGGCTTATGAAGCTTGATAAATTGTGATTACTGTGAATAAACTACTGGATGTAAATTTTTGCAGATGAACACTAGCAAATGTATGCTACTGACTTTAGCCATAAGTAGAGATGATCCATCAATATAGTTGCTGATCTTGCAGCTTAAAAAAACAAACCAAGCTACTACTGATGCACTTGACAGCTTATTGCATGTTTGATTCTCTTTTGCTTATGATTTAAAATGTTTTTTAGGAATGATAAAATAATTCTAGCTTTGAAGAGTATAAAGTTCAACTAGGGCTACATCTAAGCTATACACCACTTCTGGGGTCATGTAGTGTATGTGTATCTACATGCTGTAGTGAAGAGCATAGTGCATCCATGCTGTGTTGTGTAGCTACGTGTTTCAGTGGGGAAAGGGGTCAGGAGCTCCCTTCTGCCAAAGCCTTTCACTGTACCTTCCCTCCCTGCTGCCGGAGGCTTTCCCCATGATGGGAAAGGACTCCCAACAGCAAGGAAAGGCACTGCTAACATTTCCCCTCACACACTTCTGCTGGAGTCTATTTCTAAATGGTGGTGAATGGCTCCAGACAGCAGGGAGCTGCCAGGGTCTTTCTGCACTGTCTCTTCCCTGCCAGAGCCTTTTCCCACTGTTGGAAACTTTCCCAGGGAAAGACTCCAGCAGCAGGACACTACATTGCTAAAAATAGTAGGGTAGACATGGAAGCATGGCTTAGGCTATGGGCAAGTAAAGAGCCATGTAGGGTATGTACATGTATGTACCAACACCATCAAACATGTCTTTACTTGGCTAAGACATGCCTCACTGTCTACACTTCTATTTATGTAGGTGTTAATGGGGGCTACATGGAAAGGTATACTACATGCTGCCAAAAGAAGCATAGGGTGTAGAGACACACGAAGTGGGACTTTGTTGGGCTGTGTGCCTAAGTGACTGCCCATAGCATCAATTTAGGAGATGCCATTTAAATAAGTGGCCCCTCTTCAGTTGTTTTTTAGAGCTTAGGGGGGGTAAGTCAAA